CCCAGGCTCGTCAGGGTGTGACAACCTTGTAGAACGTCCTAGCTCGTCCCATTCCAGGTCGCGAAACGCAAGAATATGAAAGAAGACAAAACAGGAATGAAGAAAGGTTCAATGCAAGCAGAGAACGAAACGGCCCAACAGATGCTAAGAGTCTTTTAAAGAAAAAGCTCAAAGATGCGCTCTAAGACACAAGACAAATAACACGTTTGCTCTTTCACTTTTCACTTTTTCCGCACTTTCTACTTTTCACCTCAGGGTGACCTGGAGCTGCGCCTCGCGGGCTTCGCCGTTGGACCGGACTCGGTGTCCTTCGACCGAGGCGCAGGCGACGACGAGTCTCGCGTCGACACGCTCAAGTCCGTGTGACTACTATATCTTCTGTGTTGCTAGTATGGTAAAAAGGCTCCTAGTAGCGATGTCAGCAGCCCCTGGTAGCTGCTCTCTTATAGTAGTGAGGCCAGGAGACTCGCTTCTCTCTTATACTACAAGCTTCTCCTCTGAAAGAACACTCTTCTTTTCTTCACAAGCCCTGAAATGCCATATTCGACCAGAAAGGTCTCCCCTTTCAAAGAAGCCGTTCATACGTTGGTTGCACGAGGGTTCGGTGATTGGCATTCAAGGCCCAAGGCCTTTTGCAATGGGTACTTGTGGGTTCCAGTCGTGAGTGAGGGCAAAAAGACCTGAGGCCACAGAAAGACACGTAGCTGCAGCGTGTTTGTTTTGCTTTGTGACAAATGCGACAAGTAGGACATTCTTTCTTGGGCCTTGCCGTAGCAGTTTGATTCTTCATTCCCAGTGAAGGAAGTCCAAGCAGAGTGCAACGAGGTGAAATGAAGACTCCACAGTCTCAACGAATTCATCAGAGAAGTCGTGTTGGGCCATCGCTATTATATGCTATGATCAGGTTGGAGGCCATTGCTATTAGTTGAGTTGCCCTAAGAAGCGTGACCTATCCTGCATCCACACTAGTAGCGTCTAGCGACTCCCTGGCTTCTACCTAGCGACCTACCTCTACGGGCGGCCTACCCCTACTGTGTTTTTACAAAGTCGTCTATTCTGTGTTTCTCTTGGCGCTGCCTCGCGGGTGCCTCGTCCTGCAGGTGCAGCGAAGGACACTGCGTTGGACACTGCATCGCAGATCTGCTCCGTTTACGAGGCCTCCACCGAAGCCTAGAGGCTCTCTTCGGCCTCGACTCAATGAATTCGCGGTGGCTTGGCCTTTTTGCACCAGGTAGAGGGAAGATGATGCAAGTTCTGATACAATGGTCTTAGTCTTGTTGAGGCAAGAAATGAGGGAGGGGGAGGCCACATCGCCAAAGTGTAGCCTATATCCCCATAATGTACTCTTTTTGGTGTTCTGGCCGCCGGCGCCGGCCACCGGCACCGGCAACCGGCCGGCCACCGGCGCCCGCCACCGGCAGCGGCGCCGGCCACCTGTAACCGGCACCGACACCGGCAACCGGCGCCGGCAGACTCGCAGGCAGATAGATAGATCAGTTACGTTAGATGGCTCGAAAAAGAGAGAGAGATCAATGGATAGATAGTACTGCATTCGCGACGCCACCGCTGTGTGTACTTTGCACCAAGGCCTTCCCCAGTGGCCAACAGCGGTCTGACCCACCAAAGGTCACCAACGTGGAATGGCCACATCCTTTAAAATTTTGCACCTGCATTGCCCACAAACGGTTGAGCCAAATTGGAAGAGCCATCAATGGCCACATCCTTCTCTAAATTTTTTCCCCTGCAGTGGCCACAAAAGGGTGACTCAACTTGGAATGGCCACTTGCTTCTCTTAATTTTCCCCCTGCATTGCCCACAAAAGGGTGGGCCAACTTGGGATGGCCACATCCTTGTCGAATTTTTTCCTGCGTGCCCACAAAAGGGCGGGCCAACTGGGGATGGCCACATCCTGCTCTAAATTTTGCCCCTGCATTGCCTACATTGAAGGGTGGGGCAACTTGGCTTGGAAACATCCTTCTCTAAAATTTAGCCCTGCATTGGTCTACATACATGTGAGGTCACCTTAGAATGGCAACATCCTTCATGAAGTTGTGCCCCTGCATTGCCCACAAAGGGTGAGATCTTTCTCTAAAATTTATCCTTGCGTTGACAAAAGGACGTCAACTTGGACTGGCCACTGCCTTGTCTAAAGTTTGCCCCTGCATTGGCAACAAAAGGGTGGAGTCCACTTGGGCTGGCAACATCCTTCTCCAAATTGGTTTCTGCGTTGCCAGCAAAAGGGTGGCAACATTCTTCCCTAAATTTAACCGTCGGGTGGCCTGGCAAGGGTCATTCCACTTGGCAAGGGTGAGTCAACTTGGAATGGCTGCACCCTTCTCTAAATTTTACCCCCGCATTGCCCACAAAAGGGTGAGGCAACTGGAACTGGCAACATCATTGTCCAAATTCTATTCTTGCATTGCCAACAAAAAGGTTAGGTCAACTTGGAATGGCAAGATCCTTTTGGAAATTTTACCCCTGCGTTGCCCACAAAGGGGTGAGGCAACTTTGAATGGCAACATCATTGTCCTTCGGGTGGCCCACAAAAGAATGGCAACATCCTTCTGAAATTTGTACCCCTGCAGTGCCCACAAGGGTGCGTTACCTGCCATGCCACATACGGGTGACGTCAACTTGGAATAGCAACGTCCTTGCCCAAATTTGACCCCTGCGTTGCCCACAAAAGGGTTAGGTCAACGTGGAGTGGCAACATCCTTCTCGAAATTTTACCCCTGCGTTGCCCACTAAAAGGGTGAGCCAAGTTGGAATGGCCACATCCTTCTAACTTTCCCCCCTGCATTGCCGACAAAAGGGTGGGCCAACTTGGGACGGCCACATCCTTCTCTAAATCTTACCCCTGCATTGCCGACAAAAGGGTGAGGCAAGTTGGAAAGTGTACCCCTGCATTGGCTACATTAACGGGTGAGGCAACTTCGAATGGCAACATCCTTCTCTCAAATTTAGCCCTGCATTGGCCCACAAAAATGTGAGGTCGACTTAGAATGGCAGCATCTTTCCCGAAATTGTCCCCCTGCATTGGCCACAAAAAGGTGAGTCAAGTTGGAATGGCTACACCCTTCTCCATTTTTTTTTACACCCGGGTGGCCCACCAAAGGGTAAAGCCCACTGGGACTGGCAACATCCTTCTCTAAAATTTAACCCTGCATTGGCCAGACAGGGGTGGGTCCACTTGGAATTGCAAAATCTTTCTGCAAATTTTACCCTCGAGTGGCCCACAAAAGGGTCAAGTCCACTTGGACTGGCAACCTTTTTCTCGAAGTTTTACTCCTGCATTGTGACAAAAGGGTGACGTCAACGTGGAATATGAATAGCCACTACCTTGTCTAAATTTTGCCCCTGCATTGCCCACAAAAGGGTGGAGTTCACTTAGGCTGCCAACATCCTTCTTTAAATTGGTTTCTGCATTGCCAACAAAAGGATGGCAACATCCTTCCCTAAATTTGACCCTCGGGTGGCCTGACAAGGTCACTCCACTTGGAATGGCAACATCCTTCTTTCGGGTGGCCCGCAAAAGGGTGAGTCAACTTGGAATGGCTACACCCTGATCTACATTTTACCCTCGGGTGGACCACAAAAGGGTGAGTCAAATTTTAGGATTGCATTGCCCACGAAAGGGTGAATCAACTTGGAATGGCAAGATCTGCTCTAAAATTTACCCGTGCATTGCCTACAAGAGGGTGAGTCCACTTGGGATGGCAACATCCGTTGTAAATTGCACCCCTGCAGACGGACACCGGCCACCCGCTCGGGCACCGGCTACAGGCACTTGCCACCGTCAACCGGCACCGGTCACCGGCTCCGGCCACCGGCTCCGGCACCGGCAACGACTACAAAAGTATAGACTCTATATATCCAAGACAGTGCTTTCTAGGCAGTACCGTTGCCTAGAGCACACTTTCTTAATCGTCCCAAGAAAGATTTGTTCATTTGCGCGATGATTCCCACGGCTCACCGTAATTAGCCATTGTTCTTACATGCCCACTGGATGTTCTTTTCTGGCTTTGGCACTCAGTTCATCGCGCCAGGTTCCGAGATTTTGGCGATCCACGCCATGTGCCAGCAGCTTTGGGAAACCAACCCGGAGAGCCGTTGGCTTGGCGCGACAAGTTCATGTCTCAATGCTCCTGCAGATGCTCGCGCAGGCCAGTGACATGCGCATGGTGCAGGCCGTCGGGAGATTGAAGAGGTGGAGTTGGGACTGGAAGAGGTCGGGTCCAAAAGAATACGGTAGATGCCAAGAAAGCAGAGGTGACAATTATACAGATCCTCCACAAAGCAGGGGAAGCACCTGCAGCAGACCGCAACATCATGCCATGCTTGTTTTTTGTAGAGAGAATGATGAGTGAGAAAATGAGAAAATTTGAAGCAATATACATAATCATTTCATTCCATTTATCCGTTCCATCTTGGGCATTTCCATATCTTTCCAGCTGCTTCCATGTGGCATGGGGCTGGAAGGACTGTGTGTACGTGACTCAGGTCTTTGGAGGCTGGGCCAGGTTTCCCCGATAGTTTTCCATCGGTCGATTACGTACGTCTTGGGTCGCCACGGAGACCATGGTCTCGCTGCCTCGAGTCGTCGGGGAACGGATAAGAAGACATGTTCTACAGTATATATATATATAAGTATATATGCAAGTAAAAGTCATACAAATATAATGCTGGTGGTCCGAGGAGAGCGATGTTTGCTATCCCTGGCTTGGTGCAGGCCAGGGGGTTGTGCAGGGTGTAGGGCGGCGGCGAGGCTGGCTGAGTGCCACGCTCCTGTGTGTTTCGTGAGACAGTGCGTGGCGCCGAGCCACGGGTAAGCAGCCAATCACGTGAAAGAGTGCCCCAGACATTTTCAACCCACTAGCCACCCGCCTTTTAGCACGCAGAAGCTCCCACGGTGTGGGCCCACATGAGGGGTACGCAGCGCTGTCTAGAGAACATTTGCGTTGGTGCCGACGGCGTCGGGGGACAGTTGCCTCGTTTGTTTCTATAGTGCGTGGTGTCGGCTTGTGTCCTGGAAGCTTCGTGCTTTGTTCGGTTGCAGCCTTTCAGCAACCACTGCGCGTGTAGAGCTTGCGTGTGCTTTTGTGGAGATGGCCCGCGCTGTGAAGAAAGAGGGGCCAACCGATGAGGAAATTCTCCAGGCTTTTCGTGGTTGTGAGTTTTTGGATGAAGAAGAGGCGACGCGGAAGGCTCCAGAGATCATGGCCGTGGCTGTGCCGTTGGCTAAATCATTGTCTCTGTCGTGGCCGTCGAAGCCTCAGATTTGCTTGGCTGCAAGAAGCACAGGTGCTTTTTGCAATTGCATGAAGGACCACTTGTATATGTGCAGAGGCCTGTCGTGGTGGCAATGATTGTCATGGTGGCTGCTCTATCACCTTTGGACTGTGCGATTTGTTGGGTGTCGTGTTGCGTAGGCACGGGGCTGTCTTTGATGTTTTTCAGCTGCGCATGGACGCGGCGTGGCAGGATCGCTTTGTGATTGCGCCGTCCATTGCGATTCCAAATTCCATTTGGGCAGTGCTCCTCCACCCCGGCTCGGTCAACACATCAGGCCTGATCCTGACCGTGGTGACCGCGCTGAACTTAATCATGAACCGGAGGCATCAAGTCGAGGTCGCCGCTGCCAAGCAGGCAGCCCAGGACCGGCAAGAGGCAGGGCAGGACCCAGACTACTCCGTCCCTCCCCGTCGACAGTGCCTGGCGGGAGGCGGCTCCCTGGCTGCCACAGGAGAGAACTGAGTGTGTCAGCAGCACGTCACACATTTCCATGTGTCTCAGGTACCACTTGTGCAGTCAGTCTGATAAGCTGTGGGCGTGCAGGACTGCAAATGAGCCAAGAGCAGAATCGTGGCGCGGCAGTGTCCGTTGAGCCGGAAGTGGAGCAAGTGTTCCACTGGTTTGCAGTGTGCTGCTCAGGAAACTTTGTGTCCGTAGGTTTGAACCTCTCCAAGACTGAATGGCGACTGAGGCTGAGAGCTGTGTGGACGCAGGGGCAGCCGGCAAGCTGTGGGACGGGAGTCCCTGGCACGGGCCGGTGATGGACAAGACGCGGGCGTTCACCATCGAACGCCCGTGGTATTCCATCTTGGCCGCGGGACATGTCCCTGAAATGTTCCAAGCCACGCAGCGCGACGCCTTCGGGCTGCGTGGGCGTCTGACTGTTTGCGTTCCGCATCCAAGGTTCCAACCTTTGCGTGACATCATCGCGGCATGTCAGAGCCTATGTGTCCCCTCGAAGAAGCCGGAGGATTTCCTCGCAGGTTTACTGTATCCAGTCTTGGCCAATGCTTTGCGCCATCCAGAAGGCATGGCGCTGGTATTGCGTCTTGACTTGTTTTTTCTGGAAAGTAGATGTGTTGTGCAAGGCCGAGAATTTCGCCCAGACCCAACAGATGGGGCAATGGAGACAGTGCAGCAGAATTTTGATGCAGAGTCCTCAGTGTGGAGCCAGTATATAGGAGTCGTTCCAAACCTCATATAAACTTTCTTTGCTTCGTATACTTTTGTATTGCACAGTGTCTCTGCCTCTGCAAGCCTCTTGCGTGCTGAGGGCCATATGTCTTTGCAAGAGGAAGCCTATATGCGGAGGGGGGAGCACGAAACCAGCAAAAAACATGGCAAGCTTAGGACCAAGTACAACCGTTTGGCTTGGGGAGTCCATGTGCTGACGGAGGTTTGCAAGCTCTTCTTGGCTTGCAAAGAGGATGAGGGTTTTGAGCTGGCAGGCGTCTGGGCTGCAAAGCCTTTGCGTCCAGTGTGTGTCGTGGTACTTCTTGCGTGTGCCATTTGAGGTCGCTGGGGTGCTGATTTCCATCCGCCTTTGACAGTTCCGAATGCTAGCTTGGAATTTGCGTATTGGCTGGCAGAATCCATGGACCGCTGGTGGGCTGTTCTGGATTTCGCGTCGCCGGCGCATGTCTTGCCGGAGGACCCACCAGACAGCTCGCAGGCCATTCCGGCAGCAGCGGCGTCAGCTCCACCTCGAGCAGGTGGAACAATGCCAGCTCCAGCTCCAGTGTCAGGTGTGCATAAGTTCCAAGGGATGCTGGCCAAGTATAGGGGCAAGAATGAGCTCAACAAGGATGAGCTGGATTTTCTGCTGGGGGTGAAGTTGTCCGATATTCCAGAGTGGGCTGCGGCGCTACAGCGCCATTCTCAGCCACAGGAACAGGGAGTGACAACGTATCGTCAGGTCATGAGCATTGTTTTGGGACATGAGGGTGCTTGGTTTAACTTCAACTACAGCCAAGCTGCGAAGAGAAGCCTGGTGAAGCTGGCCGGAAAGGCAACTTGTTTGCATAAAGTGATTGGCTGTGTTGTTTTGAACGTCGTAAGAATTTTGCACGGTCTGAGGACTTTGCCAACATGTATGCTTTGATGTCTTGCTTGCTCTTGTGCGGCTTGGGGCTGGGCACTGTCGTCCGCACATTGCCGACGGCGGGCGGTGGTCGCCCGAATTGGTTCTTCTGCAAGAGGGCAGTGGTTGCAAGCATGGAGTGGGCCCTTGCAGGATTGGGCGTTGCTGCAGAAACTACTCCCACTTTGGCGTCGTATGCTGCTGCTGTGCAGACATCGTTGGCTGAGCCATCCCCCCCGCGGACACCTTGCATTGATTGGCTGACTGCGGTCGCTTCTTCGGGGGAGCAGGTGTGTCATGCTGAGTCATGCATGTCACATCGTGGTGCATTTGTTTTTGCTGTTAATGTGACTTTGGGAGGCCACCGTCCAAGCATTCTTGGGAATGCGGCCTCCACATGAAGAGGGGCGCGGCGAGGAGGTTTCGAGTGGAGACTTTTTGCCCACATGCTTGTGGGGGCACTGTTGTTGTAGACTGCGAGGCCCGTCCCGCAGCGGTCGAAGAGGATTTCGACGAGGCGTGGTTTTCATTTGGGCGTGGCTCCAGAGCTGTTCTTTGTTTGAAACTCGTGTTAGAATTGGTTTTGATTAGTGAGGAGGAGGCGGCGGAGGAGGGGCATCCGGCTGCTGAGGAGCGCCTCGCAGAACCCAGCTTCGGCGCATAGGTCGGGCCTTGGTAAACAAGCGGGAGCGGCGTTGTACATGAAAGGGTGAAAACATGCACTTGTAATACGAGTGATTGTCTACATGCTTTTTGAATCGACCGTCTTAGGCATGGCGTTCTGCTCAGTGCTGGCTCACAGCACTTGGGGGGCCGCTTGTGCTATGTCACATGCTGCCCCAAGCAATGTCAGCGCGAGAATTGCGCGCACCTGTTTCCGGAATATGCGAGACTCATTAGTGGCACGGTTGTGAAAGAACGATGTTGTGAAAAGTCTTGTTCATTCACATGCGGCGTCTCCTTGGACACTTTGTGTGCATGTTGACTGCAGGTGTGCTGTGACTGCAGGACTGGTTGTGCACGAGGTGACGCTCCCTATGGGAACTCCACTGCAGCCATTTGGCCGGAAAATTTGCCTTGCGACCGTGCGCGGCATGATGCTGGCCGACGTTGAGGTTGTTTTGCACCCATACCCAGCTTCAGTGCTGGGGTGGTTCTGCCTCGGATACAACGTCAGCGACGCCTTGGGCCGAGTGCCCATGATATCTGGGCTGGCGTGCCATCGCATTTGTGCGCGCATGAACAAGTAGGGGCCACGTTGCAAAGGCTGCTTCGTGACGCGCCCATGTGCATTTGCATCGAGCAGAGTGCCTTTGCAGTTTTAGACCCGGTTCGAGATGCGCCTTTGTTGCCAAGACTTCGGGTTGAATTTGTGCCTTGTTCCAGGGCATCATGTTGCAACGAAGCCTTGGCTCGCTGGCGGCTGGTGCATGCAACATGTTTCACCCTGGCGCGGGGTGTGGTCCCCGCGCAAGTGGTTTGCCTCCGTTGTGAAAAGTGCGAGACTGTGTACGCTGGCTGCTGGCAGTGGTCCAGCGTGCCGGCCAAAAGCCGTTTTCCGGAGGGCTTCCATAACCCGCGCTATGTGGGTTTGCCGCAGGGCAATCTGCGATGGTTCTTCGCGCCCGGGCCTTGGCTTCACATGTGCTTTTCCCTGTTTGGTCATGCATTTCTTATGCGTGTGTGGTGTTGAGGACGCCGCAGATCGTGTTCGAAATTGCGCTCTTGGATTTCCTCCTGGCCTTGGCGGCGCGGGCGGGCGTCACTCTGTCAGCCTTCCATGCAGTTTACATGGGCTTGTGGCCATGGTCTTCGGATGGCACGGCGCATAGCCGCCGGGAACACTTTGTCAAGAAAACAATTGTGATCTTGATCGTGTGGGCCGCTGTGCAGATGTTCCTTGAAGCAGGCTTGAATGTGTCGCATGTCATTTGGTATTTGCGGCCACACCATACTGCAAACGACTTTGCCAACATCTTGCCTCTGGTTCGTGAAGCATTCCAGACCCTGGCCCAAGCGCATGCTTGTTACCTGTTTCGGCGGGTTCCTGCTGTCGTGGTGGACGGGAAATGGTGTGTGCAGACGTTGCTTTGCAATGCCCGTAATGGGAATCCTGTGTACGAGCCTGCCTTGCAGCTTGGTTACCTGCAAGGCTGCCGCTGCCGGCCACTTCGGGGATCTAAGTACTGCGAATATCACAACGCAGCCGGACCTCGTCCTAATGGCCCAGTGGAAGTGGAAATTATCGACCACCGGCAGGCGTGATTTTTTTGGGTTCAGTGGTCACTCATAACATAGTCACGGGGCGGTGCGGCCAACAGGTCACGGATGGACAAGGGGTTCACCTGCAGTACAAGATCGGCGACGTGTGGCATGCAGCGACTACAGTCGCCACGGGGGCCGTGCGGAAGTACGAGCTCCAGTTGTTGCGTCGCCAGGGGAGCCGTCAGGATGCAGAGGCGCGGGTGGACCAAGAGATTGCACTCGCGTCACGTGTTAGATCATTTTGCGAGGACTCCAGCTGCAATAAAGACGAACGCAAAGACACCGACGAGCCTTCCTGTGGCAGACGTACTGCTGGGATCTTGGTGGCGGTAACTCCCTGTCTGCAGTCACATAGCTGCACAAGCTGTGTTCCTTGTGCGCGGCTCACATTTGTGTGTCTGTGTGCGCGAACAAAATGATTCAATGGTCATGCTGCTGCCTGCAGGATTGTATCGATCACTCCCATGTACGCGATAGAGTCTTGCACAGAAGTGCTTCTGTGCGTTTGGGCATTGTGCGCTTTGTTCCGTGTGCCCAGGTGGCATTCTATAGACAAGCATAATTACTATCAACCGTGTCGTGGTAAGGACTCTCGCGTGATGCCTCCTGAGGCGTTGCGATTCGTCATCTATGACAACGCTTGTGCCGTGGTTCGGATGATCCAGAAACGGACCAGGAATGGAGCCAATTGGGCTCAGCTAGCAGGCCTCAAGTGGGTCATCGACCGGCTCCATTTTACGTACCACAAGGCCTGCCAGGACCAAAGCAGCGGCTGGTATGCGCCTGGCACCAATCCAGCGGAGCATCCAGAACTGCGAGGTATCGACACAGAAGCGGCAGAGCAGGTCTTCAGTATAGCCAATCGTTGGCAGGTGCGGGGGGCAGGGTGCCCACTTCTGGTGGAGGCCAAACGACAGCGGCGACGGCTACTACTAGTACTCCTAATATAGTATCATGGCTGTTTTCCTGCTGCTACTGCTAGTACTACCAGATTTCACCACGACCAAGCAGCGAGCCTGGCGCGCCCCGCGCACCCCCGGACACTGCCGACCCCAGAGCTCCCCACGAGCGACGTGTAGCAAAAAACAGATAACGCAAGGGCCACGCGACCAGAAGACAGCTGCCAGAGAGGAAACGCGACCAGAAAGGAAGCTCCCACGCAACACGTTCGACCAATGAAACTAATTCAATATACAAGGGACACGCGACAAGAAAGAGAAGTCAAACAAATACTACTGGTAAGAGTGTAAGACCCGGACAAGGAAGCTGGCAAGTGAAAAGAACCACCCCAGAAACCATGGAACGCACGACCAAGGAGGAGAAGCTTACAAGCAAAGATAATGCGCAACAGATGGGGGAAAGAACACAGAGCAAGGACATGAACACGACCACTGGCATTATAACTACTACTGGCACAACACGACGGAGACTATATAGCACAGCTACCACCAGCGCGCCACCAAGACCGCGATGACGACTTATACCACTACGCAGCTTCCGCCTGCGAAGCCGACTAGTATACCACCACGACCACTGCGACCAACAACGACGGCGACGATAGGCATACTCTTCTAGTATACTACGACTGCGACTACGACAACCACTACGCCTTCTCCTGTTAGTAGCCCCAGAAGTGAAGGCACCTACAACAGAACGCCTTCTCCTGTTAGTAGCCCCAGAAGTGAAGGCACCTACAACAGAAACTACCTCCAGGGACCAACGGCAAGAAAGGAAGCTGACAAGCAATCATAACGACAAAACCAACGAACACAAGGGACGCACGACAAGGAAGGCACTTGAGAAGTAAAGATCACTACGAACGTTAGAGCCCAAACATTGGGGAAGACAGGAAGCTTGCAAGTGAAGATACACAAAGTTGGGAACATACGACGAGGAAGGACAACTTATGAAGCAAAGAGAACGCCGAAAGAGATGAACGCAAGAGACACAGGAGCAAAAAGAGACAAAGGACATGAACACGACAACTGCTACAACAAGTGCCAATGACTACTGCTCCTCCTGCTACTGCTGCTGCTCCGCCGCCGCCGCCGCCGTAGAAGTAGTCGGAGACAGTCGTCGTCGTCGTGGTCGTCGTCGTCGTCGTAGTACTACTAGTAGTAGTAGTCGTCGTAGTAGTAGTAGTAGCCGTGTAGTAGTACTCTTGAGAACACTATATACTACCACTCTGGCGATGGTGGGTAAAACGATCACCGACCCAGCTTCGCAAGACTCTCCTACGTCAACGGGTAGCCGTCGTCGCATCGCTGGTACGCTTCGTGTCATGCCCTGCAGGTTGTGTTGAGCAATGCAAGTCCAGTGCACCAAGACATCTTGTTGCTGGCGTTTGCTCGAAACCACAACCAAGCCCAGACGTGTGAGCATGCACTGACGACGCTCCGGTGTGACATATATATTAGAGGCACATGTGAACATTTAATCTTTTTGTGCAACCACCGTGTTTCTGCGAATGTCATCTGTGCGGTGCATCGCTGAGGACGTATTTCAAGAAACAAGAGTCAGAGGCGGGTGAGTCAGCCACAGTGTCTCCAAGAGAAGCACAACCCCCGAAGCAGGCCAAGCGCATCAGGGTTGGAGCAGGCTGCGCAGCAGCAAGTTCTGTCGCGGAAATCCCGTCCAGCTCCAGGCCTGCGTCATCCACTTCTGAGACTGACCCTGTTGCAATCGGTACCTTAGCCGTGGGGGACTGGGTTTTGGTTAACACCAGCACCTTCGTTGTGCATCACTGTGTGACATCACGCTGTGTCACGACAGCGTGCGGACGGTACCTGCCATTTGTATCCAAAGTCACACGGGCATCTAAGCTGACAGGACACGGTTATTTTTCACGCGCCCTGTGCTTTGGAAAGCGGTGGCCACTTTTGTGTCCCTGACTAGCAAAGTTTTGCGTTTTGGCAGGGGAAAAGGCAGGGAACAGTGCTGCTGAATCCGGGCGTTACTGTGGTGGCCGGCCCTGTGCAGTTAGCCACTGTGTCGAAAAAGGTGTGTGTTTCTGTGTTGCAGGATTGGTTCTGCGCGTGCCTGACCGCGCGCAGTCCCGCCTAGCGCAGCCGCTCCCAACGCCACACTGCCGTGCAGACACGCCTGAGGCCTGGCCTTTCTTATGACTAGAAGGTCGCATCAAAACGAAAGTACAGAAGCTTGGTACTCAGGCCTGAGGTTTGCAATGCTGCCTTCATAACTCCCTTGCTTGAGGAACAGTGATAAAGGGCAGGTCTTCCAGCAGCATGCAGTGTGTTCGACCGATTGTACGCGTAGATTTTTCTTGCCGTAGACCAATTTATGACATTCTATGTTTCTGTCTTTCTGTAGTTTTTGCGTTACTTCTTGGGTTGAAACAGTTGGGGTAAAGACGTGGTGACGCCGCACGGACCGAAACGA